TTCCACACTCACTTTACAGAATTCAAAATGACAATGCTTGTCTTTCATAATTTGGTCAGTTATGAATGGATGTGTATGTTCAGAATTTGTTGTTGGCATTACATGCCTAAATTTGCTAATCTTGCCAATGAAAAAAATAATTAAAGTAGTTGGCAATATCAGTGGGTTTTGTGATGAATGAGCCATCTGATTCAAAGAGGATGGGGCTGAGTTCGCCTTTTTGCCCAAAAGGTCATTTAAGGTGCTCCAAAGCTTTTTGCTATCATTCTTTATGTCATTTATCTTAGTTTCATAGTACAGTTTCTTCTTTTTGTTTAGTTTAGTCACATGATTTCTCAATTTTACGTACGTTTGACAATCGGTTGTGCAGCCAGACTTATTTGCCATTCCTTTTGCCTCATCCCTCTCAACCATACAGTTTCTAATTTCCTCATCAATCCACTGGGATTTAACAGTTTTTACCATCATTTTCTTTATGGGTGCATGCTTATGTCACGATCGTTTATGGAAGATACGGACCAAGGCGCAGCGTGATAAGCGTACATTTTATTAAGTACTTAACTCTACACAAAACAACAAACAAACGATACGTGAAGTCCTAGGTTACACAAAACAAACCTTTACGGAACAAGATCCCACACCGACTAGTGCCAAACAGGCTGCCTAAGTATGGTCTCCAATCAGAGAAAACGAGATACAGCTGCCTCTGATTGGGAACCACCCTGGCCAACATAGATCTAAATTGCAGCTCTTTGTTTTACACATCAACATAGAAAATATACCACAGAAACTACACACCCTGGCTCAACATTTCAGAGTCCCCAGAGCCAGGGCGTGACAGCTTATTAGTAACTGAAATAAGCAATTTCATAAATGTGTCAAGTGCGGCGTCTGGTTGCTCCTCATTACACACCACAGACCAGCAAATATTCTTTACATCAACAGCATGGAATCACTACAAGACTTATTGTATGACCTCTTAAAGGCCCAGCCTTTGGACCGTTGGTTTTCCTAGATATGGCTACTATATTGTGATCACTACATCCGATGGATTTGGATACTGCTTTAGAGCAGATTTCTGCAGCATTAGTAAAGATGTGATCAATACATGTTGATGATTTCATTCCTGTGCTGTTTGTAAATACCCTGGTAGGTTGTAGGCTGGTTTCCTGAAACTCAGGTTGCAGGCACTGGTTACAGTTTGAAGCTTTTTCTTGAGTGGACAGCTTGATGAAAGCCAGTCGATATTTAGGTCACCCAGAAAATATATTTCTCTGTTGATATCACATACATTATCAAGAATTTCACACATATTATCCATATACTGACTGTTAGCACTTGGTGGTCTATAGCAGCTTCCCACCAGAATGAGCTTTAGGTGAGGCAGGTGAACCTGTAGCCATATTACATTTTGAATGCGTAGCAGGACAGGAAAATCATCAAATTTACGCATATATCAAGAAAATATCCCTGGTCATCCCTACTGCCTCTGATCTGGCGGACTCACTAAACACATGCTTTGTTTGTAAATTATGTCTGAATGTTGGAGTGTGCCCCTGGCTATCCGTAAATAGAACATTTAAAAAAGACAATTGTTTGCTTTATTTAAGGAATTTGAAATGATTTATACTTTTACTTTTGATACTTAAGTATATTTTTGCAATTACATTTACTTTTGATACTTAAGTATATTTCAAACCAAATACTTTTAGACTTTTACTCAAGTAGTATTTTACTGGGTGACTTTCACTTTTACTTGAGTAATTTTCTATTAAGGTATCTTTACTTTTACTCAAGTATGACAGTTGGGTGCTTTTTCCACCGCTGGATTTCATGAACCTTGATTCTTAGACTACGTACAGTATGTTAATGTGAGCTATTTTTAGCGCTTTTCTGGGTTCCTTGATTGTATTTATTGCTTTACTGGGAGGCTTATCAGAGGTAGACATGACAGTGCTATTTATATTTGAGCTGATAGTGCAGGGTGAACTGCTCACATGGGGAACCTCATTTGTAAGAGATGCACAAATCTGATTAGAGACTGGTGATTTAAACTGGTGGTGACTGTAGAAAGATGTTTGGTGTAGATCTATTTCAATTATTTGCAGATTTACTACCTACAGTGAGGGAAACAAGTATTTGATCCCCTGCTGATTTTGTACGTTTGCCCACTGACAAAGACATGATCAGTCTATAATTTTAATGGTAGGTTTATTTGAACAGTGAGAGACAGAATAACAACAAAGAAATCCAGAAAAACGCATGTCAAAAATGTTATAAATTGATTTGCATTTTAATGAGGGAAATAAGTATTTGACCCCTCTGCAAAACATGACTTAGTACTTGGTGGCAAAACCCTTGTTGGCAATCACAGAGGTCAGACGTTTCTTGTAGTTGGCCACCAGGTTTGCACACATCTCAGGAGGGATTTTGTCCCACTCCTCTTTGCAGATTTCTCCAAGTCATTAAGGTTTCGAGGCTGACGTTTGGCAACTCGAACCTTCAGCTCCCTCCACAGATTTTCTATGGGATTAAGGTCTGGAGACTAGCTAGGCCACTCCAGGACCTTAATGTGCTTCTTCTTGAGCCACTCCTTTGTTGCCTTGGCTGTGTGTTTTGGGTTATTGTCATGCTGGAATACCCATCCACGACCCATTTTCAATGCCTTGGTTGAGGGAAGGAGGTTCTCACCCAAGATTTGACGGTACATGTCCATCGTCCCTTTGATGCGGTGAAGTTGTCCTGTCCCCTTAGCAGAAAAACACCCCCAAAGCATAATGTTTCCACCTCCATGTTTGACGGTGGGGATGGTGTTCTTGGGGTCATAGGCAGCATTCCTCCTCCTCCAAACACGGCAAGTTGAGTTGATGCCAAAGAGCTCGATTTTGGTCTCATCTGACCACAACACTTTCACCCAGTTCTCCTCTGAATCATTCAGATGTTCATTGGCAAACTTCAGACCGGCATGTACATGTGCTTTCTTGAGCAGGGGGACCTTGCGGGCGCTGCAGGATTTCAGTCCTTCACGGCGTAGTGTGTTACCAATTGTTTTCTTGGTGACTATGGTCCCAGCTGCCTTGAGATCATTGACAAGATCCTCCCATGTAGTTCTGGGCTGATTCCTCACCGTTCTCATGATCATTGCAACTCCACGAGGTGAGATCTTGCATGGAGCCCCAGGCCGAGGGAGATTGACAGTTCTTTTGTGTTTCTTCCATTTGCGAATAATCGCACCAACTGTTGTCACCTTTTCACCAAGCTGCTTGGCGATGGTCTTGTATCCCATTCCAGCCTTGTGTAGGTCTACAATCTTGTCCCTGACATCCTTGGAGAGCTCTTTGGTCTTGGCCATGGTGGAGAGTTTGGAATCTGATTGATTGTTTGCTTCTGTGGACAGGTGTCTTTTATACAAGTAACAAACTGAGATTAAGAGTGTGCTCCTAATCTCAGCTCGTTACTTGTATAAAAGACACATGAGAGCCAGAAATCTTTCTGATTGAGAGGGGGTCAAATACTTATTTCCATCATTAAAATGCAAATCAATTAATAACATTTTTGACATGGATTTTTCCTGATTTTTTTGTTGTTATTCTGTCTCTCACTGTTTAAATAAACCTACCATTAAAATTATAGACTGATCATTTATTTGTCAGTGGGCAAACGTACAACATCAGCAGGGGATCAAATACTTTTTTCCCTCACTGTATTATACAGTCTAGCATAGATTTTGTGGGAGTCTTCCCTTGCAGGCTTTCTAACCTCCTGGTTAGGGATTCCTGTATTTATCCAAGGTTGTTATAGTTACGATGCTGAACCTAGTAATTATCTTCAGGGATTCAGCACCATTGAAGTGGATAGCGACGGAATCAGCATTCTGAAGTTCAGCACCATGTGACAGTGGATAGCGACCGTCTGGTACAGCGAGTCTGATGGTCGCTGTCCATTGTAATGTGGTGCTGAATTTTGGAATTCTGATTCCATTGCTGTCCACTTCAGTAGAGCTGAATCTCCAATCACCGCTATTAAAGCTTAGCTTATGTTAGCCCCATCGGTTATTAGAATCGAATTTTATAAAATGTATGAACTAATGAATTAATCATATTTTCATGACGAGTGATCATCAGCATTTGAAAGTGAGATCCTATTTAGAAGATATATTCTGCTCTTACGCTGTAGTACAATCTATAGGGAGGTGGAAGCTGAACTTGGCTAATGCATGCATCCTCAAAGCACAGGTTCAGAATGCTGACCCTGCCCCTCTCTCTCTCTCTTCACCTCTCTCTCTCTCTCTCTCTCTCTCTCTCTCTCTCTCTCTCTCCTATCTCTCTCTCGCTCTCTCTCTCTCTCTGTCTCTGTCTCTTCTCTCTCTCTCTCTCTCCTCTCTCTCTCTCTCTCTCTCTCTCTCTCTCTCTCTCTCTCTCTCTCTCTCTCTCTCTCACTCTCTCTCTGATCCATACTGGGCTGAGGGTGTATCAATCTCAGGTTAATTACAACACAAGAATGGACTGGAATACACAACACACACACCACACACACCACACACACACACAAATACACACACACCTTTGTGTTTTGGGACACATGTTCCAGCCTGAATACATACATTTTAAAGGAGAGGTGTTCTTATGCATTCTAATGAACTTAGCAGCTCTTACGTGGACTCCTTTTGGGGTAGAACATGATCCAATATAACAAAATAATAGAATAGAATAGTATTAAACTTACCCATTTTTTACAACATTTTGTTGGCATGTAGAGATTGTTTAGACTCTCTCTCTGATTCATCATGTTCCTCCCTGTCCTCTCCCAGGTTCTAAGATATCTGTAGTTCCTCCCTGTCCTCTCTTAGGTTCTAAGATATCTGTAGTTCCTCCCTGTCCTCTCTTAGGTTCTAAGATATCTGTAGTTCCTCCCTGTCCTCTCCCAGGTTCTAAACTCTCTGTGGTTCCTCCCTGTTCCTCTCTCTAGGTTCTACTGTTAACGCTCTCTGTTCTCTCTAGGTTCTACTGGGACCTGATAATGCTGTTCCTCATGGTGGGGAACCTCATTATCATCCCTGTGGGCATCACCTTCTTCAAGGATGAGCACACTCCCCCCTGGATCGTCTTCAACGTCATCTCAGACACCTTGTTCCTCATCGACCTGGTCCTCAACTTCCGGACGGGCATCGTCAAGGAGGACAACACAGAGATCATCCTGGACCCACAGAAAATCAAGATCAAGTATCTGAAGAGCTGGTTCGTGGTGGACTTCATCTCATCCATACCAGTAGATTACATCTTCCTCATCGTGGAGACCAGGATCGACTCAGACTTCTACAAGACGGCCCGGGCGCTGAGGATCGTGCGCTTTACAAAAATCTTGAGTTTGTTGAGACTGCTCCGGCTGTCCAGGCTCATCAGATATATACACCAGTGGGAAGAGGTGAGAGAGACTTGGAGTAGGTAGGAGGAGGTAGGAGGTAGGGAGGTAGGGGGGTAGGGAGGTAGGGTGTAGGGGGGAAGGGGGGGTAGGGGGTAGGGAGGTAGGGATTTAGGGGGTAGGGGGTAGGGAGGTAGGAGGTAGGGAGGTAGGAGGTAGGGAGGTAGGGAAGTAGGAGGTAGGGAGGTAAGGAGTTGGGGGTAAGGAGGTAGGGAGGTAGGGAAGTAGGAGGTATTGAGGTAAGGAGTTAGGGAGGTAGGGAGGTAGGAGGTAGGGAGGTAGGAGGTAGGGAGGTAGGAGGTAGGGAATTAGGAGGTAGAGGGTAGGGAGGTAGGAGGTAGGGAGGTCGGAGGTAGGGAGGAAGGAGGTAGGAGGTAGAGAGGTAGGAGGTAGGGAGGTGGGAGGTAGAGGGTAGGGAGGTTGGGAGGTAGGAGGTAGGGAGGTAGGAGGTAGGAGGTAGGGAGGAAGGAGGTAGGAGGTAGGGAGGTAGGGAGGTAGGAGGTAGGAGGTAGGGAGGTAGGAGGTAGGGAGGTAGTAGGTAGGGAGGTAGTAGGTAGGGAGGTAGTAGATAGGGAGGTAGTAGATAGGGTGTAAGTAGGAGGAGAAGATCCTTAATTTGTTGATCTGCTAAAGCTCCCCAGGCTCATCAGATATATAAACCAGTGGAAGGACGTACAGTAGGGAGCAGGGTTGTGGTGACCCGGTCAATTCAAAAAGTAAATGTCAATTTTCTTGGAATTGAGAGAGAGAGAATTTCCTTTCGTAAGAGGATGAAAGACTCATAGTGTCTTTCCCTTCTAGGGAGGTTTGGGAAGCACCAGGAGGTAGGGCTTGGGGAGCACCAGGAGGTAGGGCTTGGGGAGCACCAGGAGGTAAGGCTTGGGGAGCACCAGGAGGTAAGGCTTGGGGAGCACCAGGAGGTAAGGCTTGGGGAGCACCAGGAGGTAAGGCTTGGGGAGCACCAGGAGGTAGTGCTTGGGGAGCACCAGGGGGTAGGGCTTGGGGAGCACCAGGAGGTAGGGCTTGGGGAGCACCAGGAGGTAGGGCTTGGGGAGCACCAGGAGGTAAGGCATGGGGAGCACCAGGAGGTAAGGCTTGGGGAGCACCAGGAGGTAGGGCTTGGGGAGCACCAGGAGGTAGGGCTTGGGGAGCACCAGGAGGTAAGGCATGGGGAGCACCAGGAGGTAAGGCATGGGGAGCACCAGGAGGTAAGGCATGGGGAGCACCAGGAGGTAAGGCTTGGGGAGCACCAGGAGGTAGGGCTTGGGGACAGGATTGGGATCAATTACATTTCAACTCAGTCAACTCTGGAAGTAAACTGACATTCCAAATTTGAGTTTACTAATTGAATGGACTGAATTGAAATGGAATTGACCCCAACCCTGGACAGAAGACAGTGATCTGCTCTCTCATTCATTGTAGATGATGAACCCCAGTCATAGTAACCACTTAACCATATACCTACTCTCGTTTCAATGTGCTGCTTTACAATTTCAATTATTTGATATGACATATTACTGGTTCAGATATGACATATTACTGGTTCAGATATGATATATTACTGGTTCAGATATTACATATTACTGGTTCAGATATGACATATTACTGGTTCAGATATTATATATTACTGGTTAAGATATGACATATTACTGGTTCAGATATGACATATTACTGGTTCAGATATGAAGTATATAATACTAGTTTAGATTCTCTGTGTGTTGCATTTGCATAAAGTTCTGATATCAGTAATTGAGGTGTAATTGACAAAGCATCCCGTAACTCCATCCCATACTCAATTAGACGTATACTTAGATCCAATCATCATGTGTACACACACACACGCGCGCATGCACACACGCGCGCACGCACGCACGCACACACACACACACACACACACACACACACACACACACACACACACACACACACACGCACGCACGCACACACACGCACACACACACACACTGAAAAGAGCCACCACACATATTGTTGAAATGACATAACAATGCATATTGTCACTTTACTTTGCTGGCTGCAGAGAATAGACTAGCAGTGTTCTCAGTGGGATCTTTTACCACTGTAAAGAGAATAGACTAGCAGTGTTCTCAGTGGGATCTTTTACCACTGTAAAGAGAATAGACTAGCAGTGTTCTCAGTGGGATCTTTTACCACTGTAAAGAGAATAGACTAGCAGTGTTCTCAGTGGGATCTTTTACCACTGTAAAGAGAATAGACTAGCAGTGTTCTCAGTGGGATCTTTTACCACTGTAAAGAGAATAGACTAGCAGTGTTCTCAGTGGGATCTTTTACCACTGTAAAGAGAATAGACTAGCAGTGTTCTCAGTGGGAGCTTTTACCACTGTAAAGAGAATAGACTAGCAGTGTTCTCAGTGGGATCTTTTACCACTGTAAAGAGAATAGACTAGCAGTGTTCTCAGTGGGATCTTTTACCACTGTAAAGAGAATAGACTAGCAGTGTTCTCAGTGGGATCTTTTACCACTGTAAAGAGAATAGACTAGCAGTGTTCTCAGTGGGATCTTTTACCACTGTAATGAGAATAGACTAGCAGTGTTCTCAGTGGGATCTTTTACCACTGTAAAGAGAATAGACTAGCAGTGTTCTCAGTGGGATCTTTTACCACTGTAAAGAGAATAGACTAGCAGTGTTCTCAGTGGGATCTTTTACCACTGTAAAGAGAATATAATCCCTCCCCCCCCACACCCCCTCAGGACCATTAGTACACAGTGACGATAGTCCCAGATGATTACGTAAAACTAAATATCCATTATAATAGTGTTGCTGTGCTGCCTGGTCTGGCGGTCTAATGGTGGGCAGATTAACAACAATGTGATGTGGCCTATGGGTAGAGGGACTCAAATCAAACCATATTTGATTTGTCACATGCTTGGTAAACAACAGGTGTAGACTTACAGTGAAATGCTTACTTACGGGCCCTTCTCAACAGCGCAGAGAGATGTTTTTGGGGAGAAATAATAGACAAGTAATAACAGCAGGAATACATACACAATGAGTAACCATAGCTTGATATACAGTCGTGGTCAAACGTTTTGAGAATGACACAAGTATTGGTCTTCACAAAGTTCGCTGCTTCAGTGTTATGACATAGTTTTGTCAGATGTTACTATGGTATACTGAAGTATAATTACAAGCATTCCATGAGCGTCAAATACTTTTATTGACAATTACATTACGTTTATGCAAAGAGTCAATATTTGCAGTGTTGACCCGTCTTTTTCAAGACCTCTGCAATCCGCCCTGGCATGCTGTCAATTAACTTCTGGGCCACATCCTGACTGATGGCAGCCCATTCTTCCATAATCAATGCTTGGAGTTTGTCAGAATTTGTGAGTTTTTGTTTGTCCACCCGCCTCTTGAGGTTCGACCACAAGTTCTCAATGGGATTAAGGTCTGGGGAGTTTCCTGGCCATGGACCCAAAATGTCAATGTTTTGTTCCCCGAGCCACTTAGTTATCACTTTTGCCTTATGGCAAGGTGCTCCATCATGCTGGAAAGGCATTGGTCGTCACCAAACTGTTCATGGATGGTTGGGAGAATTTGCTCTCGGAGGATGTGTTGGTACCATTCTTTATTCATGGCTGTGTTCTTAGGCAAAATTGTGAGTGAGTCCACTCCCTTGGCTGAGAAGCAACCCCACACATGAATGGTCTCAGAATGCTTTACTGTTGGCATGACACAGGACTGATGGTAGCGCTCACCTTGTCTTCTCTGGACAAGGTGTTTTCCGGATGCCCCATACCATCGGAAAGAGGATTCATCAGAGAAAATGACTTTACCCCAGTCCTCAGCAGTCCAATTCCTGTACCTTTTGCAGAATATCAGTCTGTCCCTGATGTTTTTCCTGGGGAGAAGTGGCTTCTTTGCTGCCCTTCTTGACACCAGGCCATCCTCCAAAAGTCTTCGCCTCACTGTGCATGCAGATGCACTCACACCTGCCTGCTGCCATTCCTGAGCAAGCTCTGCACTGGTGGTACCCCGATCCCGCAGCTGAATCAACTTTAGGACACGGTCCTGGCGCTTGCTGGACTTTCTTGGGCGCCCTGAAGCCTTCTTCACAACAATTGAACCTCTCTCCTTGAAGTTCTTGATGATCCGATAAATGGTTGATTTAGGTGCAATCTTACTAGCAGCAATATCCTTGCCTGTGAAGCCCTTTTTGTGCAAAGCAATGATGACGGCACGTGTTTCCTTGCAGGTAACCATGGTTAATAGAGGAAGAACAATGATTTCAAGCACCACCCTCCTTTTAAAGCTTCCAGTCTGTTATTCTAACTCAATCAGTATGACAGAGTGATCACCAGCCTTGTCCTCGTCAACACTCTCACCTGTGTTAACGAGATATTCACTGACATGATGGCAACTGGTCCTTTTGTGGCAGGGCTGAAATGCAGTGGAAATATTTTTCTGGGATTAAGTTCATTTTCATGGCAAAGAGAGAGAGAGAGAAATTCTGGAGTATATGCAAATTGCCATCATCAAAACTGAGGCAGTACTTACTGCACCCACTACTGACCCACTACTGTACCCACTACTGTACCCACTACTGACCCACTACTGTACCCACTACTGAACCACTACTGTACCCACTTACTGCACCCACTACTGTACCCACTACTGACCCACTACTGTACCCACTACTGATCCACTACTGTACCCACTACTGTACCCACTACTGACCCACTACTGTACCCACTACTGTGCCCACTACTGACACACTTACTGCACCCACTACTGACCCACTACTGTACCCACTACTGTACCCACTACTGACCCACTACTGTACCCACTACTGTGCCCACTACTGACACACTTACTGCACCCACTACTGACCCACTACTGTACCCACTACTGTACCCACTACTGACCCACTACTGTACCCACTACTGAACCACTACTGTACCCACTTACTGCACCCACTACTGACCCACTACTGTACCCACTACTGTACCCACTACTGACCCACTACTGTACCCACTACTGAACCACTACTGTACCCACTTACTGCACCCACTACTGTACCCACTACTGACCCACTACTCTACCCACTACTGATCCACTACTGTACCCACTTACTGCACCCACTACTGTACCCACTACTGCACCCACTACTGTACCCACTACTGTACCCACTACTGACCCACTACTGCACCCACTACTGTACCCACTACTGACCCACTACTGCACCCACTACTGCACCCACTACTGTACCCACTACTGCACCTACTTACTGCACCTACTGCACCCACGTATTGCATCCACTACTGACTCACTACTGTACCCACTACTGACCCACTACTGTCCCCACTACTGTACCCACTACTGCACCCACTACTGTACCCACTACTGCACCCACTACTGCACCCACTACTGTACCCACTACTGCACCCACTACTGTACCCACTACTGTACCCACTACTGCACCCACTACTGTACCCACTACTGACCCACTACTGTACCCACTACTGTGCCCACTACTGACACACTTACTGCACCCACTACTGACCCACTACTGTACCCACTACTGTACTCACTACTGACCCACTACTGTACCCACTACTGACCCACTACTGTACCCACTACTGATCCACTACTGTACCCACTTACTGCACCCACTACTGTACCCACTACTGCACCCACTACTGTACCCACTACTGTACCCACTACTGACCCACTACTGCACCCACTACTGTACCCACTACTGACCCACTACTGCACCCACTACGGCACCCACTACTGTATCCACTACTGCACCTACTTACTGCACCTACTGCACCCACGTATTGCATCCACTACTGACTCACTACTGTACCCACTACTGACCCACTACTGTCCCCACTACTGTACCCACTACTGCACCCACTACTGTACCCACTACTGCACCCACTACTGCACCCACTACTGTACCCACTACTGCACCCACTACTGTACCCACTACGGCACCCACTACTGCATCCACTACTGCACCCACTACTGCACCCACTACTGTACCCACTTACTGCACCCACTACTGTACCACTACTGAACCACTACTGCACCCACTTACTGTACCCACTACTGTTCCCACTACTGACCCACTACTGCACCCACTACTGTACCCACTACTGCACCCACTACTGTACCCACTACTGTACCCACTTACTGACCCACTACTGCACCCACTTACTGTACCCACTACTGACCCACTACTGCACCCACTACTGTACCCACTACTGCACCCACTACTGTACCCACTACTGCACCCACTACTGCACCCACTACTGTACCCACTACTGTACCCACTACTGTACCCACTACTGCACCCACTTACTGCACCCACTACTGTACCCACTACTGCATCCACTACTGCACCCACTACTGCACCCACTACTGCACCCACTACTAATCCCACTACTGTACCCACTACTGCACCCACTACTAATCTCGCTACTGTACCCACTACTGTACCCACTACTGCACCCACTACTAATCCCACTACTGTACCCACTACTGCACCCACTACTAATCCCACTACTGTACCCACTACTGCACCCACTACTAATCCCACTACTAATCCCATTACTAATCCCACTACTATCTGATTACATTGGAGGCAGCAGCACAATTGTCAAATTGAAATTGTGCATTTGTTTAGTGTTAAGTAGTGTTTACACTGGCAAAATAGTACAGTACATGTCTAGTTACTTAATTAGCTGCAGGTCCTGTTAATGTTTGTTAATCCACATTGCGTGGGGTACAATTACGTTTTTCTCATTCTAATTTCCTAGATTTTCCATATGACCTATGACCTGGCCAGTGCCATGGTGAGGATCGTGAACCTGATTGCTATGATGCTGCTGCTGTGTCACTGGGATGGATGTCTGCAGTTCCTGGTTCCCATGCTGCAGGAGTTCCCTTCTGACTGCTGGGTCACCAGGAACAAGATGGTGGTGAGTACACACACACACACACACACACACACACACACACACACAAACACACACGCACACAGAGAGACACCAGTTCAAATGTCCAGTGTTCCATAAATCCAGTGTTCCATAAGTCCAGTGTTCCAAATGTCCAGTGTTCCAGAAGTCCAGTGTTCCAAATGTCCAGTGTTCCATAAGTCCAGTGTTCGAAATGTCCAGTGTTCCAGAAGTCCAGTGTTCCAAATGTCCAGTGTTCCAGAAGTCCAGTGTTCCAAATGTCCAGTGTTCCAGAAGTCCAGTGTTCCAAATGTCCAGTGTTCCAGAAGTCCAGTGTTCCAAAAATTCCAGTATTCCGGAAGTCCAGTGTTCCAAACGTCCAGTGTTCCTAAAGTCCAATGTTCCTAAAGTCCAATGTTCCTAAAGTCCAATGTTCCAAACGTCCAATGTTCCAAACGTCCAGTGTTCCTAAAGTCCAATGTTCCTAAAGTCCAATGTTCCTAAAGTCCAATGTTCCAAACGTCCAGTGTTCCTAAAGTCCAATGTTCCTAAAGTCCAATGTTCCAAACGTCCAGTGTTCCTAAAGTCCAATGTTCCTAAAGTCCAATGTTCCTAAAGTCCAAACGTCCAATCTTCCTAAAGTCCAATGTTCCAAACGTCCAATGTTCCTAAAGTCCAATGTTCCTAAAGTCCAATGTTCCAAACGTCCAATGTTCCTAAAGTCCAATGTTCCAAACGTCCAATGTTCCTAAAGGTTAATGTTCCTAAAGTCCAGTGTTCCAAACGTCCAGTGTTCCAGAAGTGCAGGGTTCCAGAAGTGCAGGGTTCCAGAAGTGCAGGGTTCCAGAAGTCCAATGTTTCAACAGTAATATTTACTTATTTAGGCCTTTTGCTCCTCCTGGAACATAGGCAATCGGCAACATCTTCTCTTCTCTTCTCTTCTCTTCTCTTCTCTTCTCTTCTCTTCTCTTCTCTTCTCTTCTCTTCTCTTCTTCTCTTCTCTTCTCTTCTCTTCTCTTCTCTTCTCTTCTCTTCTCTTCTCTTCTCTTCTCTTCTCTTCTCTTCTCTTCTCTTCTCTTCTCTTCTCTTCTCTCACTCTTCTTCTCATCTCCCATTCCCCTTCTCTCCTCTCCCTCCTACAGAATGACACGTGGGGCCAGCAGTATTCCTACGCCCTGTTCAAGGCTATGAGCCACATGCTGTGTATCGGTTACGGTATGTACCCTCCTGTCGGCCTGGTGGACGTGTGGCTCACCATCCTCAGCATGATCGTGGGCGCCACCTGCTACGCCATGTTCGTAGGCCATGCAACCGCTCTCATTCAGTCACTGGACTCGTCCCGACGGCAGTACCAGGAGAAGGTGAGTGATTTAAGATCTGCTATCTCTGTTAGATCAGATAATTTTCCAAATTGTAGTGTATTCAATGTTTAAAACGGCTTCTAAAGTTGGTATTTTCTACTGAAAAATGTCAGACTTGATTTGCCCTTACGAAAAACGTATCAACCCCTACAAAGATGTCCATGAATTATAATCCACATAATAATTCACATTTTCTGTTGAGGCAGGAATATTTTCATACTCTGAGAAGCAGAGTTAAATTAAAATGCATCTGTACTGGACTCCGAGTCCAAAGGTCTGTCCAGGGTTGTAAACGGAAATTCAAATTCAAATTTTCCTCATTGCTTTCCTCAGAGGGCAATATGGAGCTACTATCAAATTAATTACACCAATCCAATCCTTTCAGATCTATACAAGTGCCTAGGTGTTAGGAGCTATGGGTTGATTTGGGATTGGCCATACGGTATGTGCAGAGAGAAGGGCTTTTCAGACAGGTGTTGGTTGCTCTGGAAAGATTCAGTGGGTGCACAGCACAGCACACAGCCTGCAGTCAGGAAATGGTCCATAACATAAGGTCTATAAAAATAGAAATAGGGAAAGAGTGCACGCTGAAAAAGTCATAAAAGTTCAAGAAGATGAATTATGAAGCTTGCATTCCAAGAAATTCTATTAAAAGTTTAACTTCAAGAGGAATGGACCTCCTAGGGATCAGAAGAGAGAGAGAGAGAGAGAGAGAGAGGGAGAGGGAGAGAGAGAGAGAGAGAGAAAGAGGAAAGGATGATGAGGAGGAAACATCTTCCGTCGTCCACTTCTACTGTTGCATTATCTGCAGCTACATCTTCTACTCTCCATAGGAAATGAATGGTGTGTTGCATTATCTCCAGCTACAATGTCTACTCTCCATAGGAAATGAATGGTGTGTTGCATTATCTGAAGTGACATCTTCTACTCTCCATAGGAAATTAATGATTTGTTGCATTATCTGCAGTGACATCTTCTACTCTCCATAGGAAATGAATGGTGTGTTGCATTATCTCCAGCTACATCTTCGACTCTCCACAGGAAATGAATAGTGTGTTGCATTATCTGCAGCTACATCTTCTACTCTCCACAGGAAATGAATGGTGTGTTGCATTATCTCCAGCTACATCTTCTACTCTCCACAGGAAATGAATGGTGTGTTGCATTATCTCCAGCTACATCTTCTACTCTCCACAGGAAATGAATGGTGTGTTGCATTATCTCCAGCTACATCTTCTACTCTCCACAGGAAATGAATGGTGTGTTGCATTATCTCCAGCTACATCTTCTACTCTCCACAGGAAATGAATGGTGTGTTGCATTATCTCCAGCTACATCTTCTACTCTCCACAGGAAATGAATGGTGTGTTGCATTATCTCCAGCTACATCTTCTACTCTCCACAGGAAATGAATGGTGTGTTGCATTATCTGCAGCTAGAGGACATACTCTCTACATAGCTTCACCGTCTGATAGGATGGACCTCGAGGGGCCTGTCCCGAATGGGACTCTATTCCCCATACAGTCCTATGGGCCCTAGTCAAAAGTAGTGCACTATGTAGGGAATAGGGTGCCATTTGGGACACAATCAAGGACAACCTTATTAATGTGATGACCTACCTGCTGACCGCTAACAACCTTATTAATGTGATGACCTACCTGCTGACTGCTCACAACCTTATTAATGTGATGACCTACCTGCTGACCGCTAACAACCTTATTAATGTGATGACCTACCTGCTGACTGCTAACAACCTTATTAATGTGATGACCTACCTGCTGACTGCTAACAACCTTATGAATGTGATGACCTACCTGCTGACTGCTAACAACCTTATTAATGTGATGACCTACCTGCTGACTGCTAACAACCTTATGAATGTGATGACCTACCTGCTGACTGCTAACAACCTTATGAATGTGATGACCTACCTGCTGACTGCTAACAACCTTATTAATGTGATGACCTACCTGCTGACTGCTAACAACCTTATTAATGTGATGACCTACCTGCTGACTGCTAACAACCTTATTAATGTGATGACCTACCTGCTGACTGCTAACAACCTTATTAATGTGATGACCTACCTGCTGACTGCTAACAACCTTATTAATGTGATTAACCGGGGGAGATTATTTCTGCAGCGAGGGCAGTTTGTGGAGAGCACCATTCCACTCCTTGGTATTCAGAATTCTCTCATGTAGCTTTGAGGAGGATTATGAGGACAGTTAACTGTCAACCTATGAGAGCAATGATAAACTGCTACTGCCTGGTTCACTGAAACGCTCAGTAAAATGCACTCTCAGGCTCAATACTCAAAGTGTCATTTAATAGATAATTATTACACTAAAATTATTCAAACATCAATTGTTCATATTCCTGATGAGATTGAGACGGAAACATATGTAATCTGTGGAGCCTCAGGTTCACCTGTGTGCTGGAGGCTATTGTCATGACATACAGTAATTCTCCATGTACCTGGGAATACTATATCTGTGCTGTACCAATGGTACATTTATCACCTGTTTTAACATAATCTGACAACTGTTTGATTGATTGAATTTATTTGATGATTAAAAGCAGTAGGCTGATCCAGCCAGAGACACACGTAGTTATGTTCTTCCTATTTCCATTGTGGTCCTCAAAAAACAACCTCCATCGTCTTAGTCTTCTACAGTATAAGCAAGTAGAGTAGTACATGTCTTTCAATCAATCAATTAATCAATCAATCAAGCAACTAATCCATTTTCTTTGTATTCTACAGTATAAACAGGTGGAGCAGTACATGTCTTTCAATCAATCAATCAATCAATCAATCAACGAATCAATTATATTTGTATTCTACAGTACAAACAGGTGGAGCAGTACATGTATTTCAATCAATCAATTAATCAATCAATCAACTAATCAATTATCTTTGTATTCTACAGTATAAGCAGGTGGAGCAGTACATGTCTTTCAATCAATCAATCAATCAATCAATCAACTAATCAATTATCTTTGTCTTCTACAGTATAAGCAGGTGGAGCAGTACATGTCTTTCAATCAATCAATCAATCAATCAACTACTCAATTATCTTTGTCTTCTACAGTATAAGCAGGTGGAGCAGTACATGTCTTTCAATCAATCAATCAATCAATCAACTAATCAATTATCTTTGTCTTCTACAGTATAAGCAGGTGGAGAAGTACATGTCTTTCAATCAGTCAATCATTCAATCAATCAATCAACTAATCAATTATATTTGTATTCTACAGTATAAGCAGGTGGAGCAGTACATGTCTTTCAATCAATCAATCAATCAATCAACTAATCAATTATCTTTGTCTTCTACAGTATAAGCAGGTGGAGCAGTAAATGTCTTTCAATCAATCAATCAATCAACTAATCAATTATCTTTGTATTCTACAGTATAAGCAGGTGGAGCAGTACATGTCCTTCCACAAGCTTCCTGCCGGCATGCGGCAGAGGGTCCATGACTACTACGAACATCGCTACCAGGGCAAGATGTTTGACGAGGAGAGCATTCTGGGGGAGCTGAACGAACCGCTCAGAGAGGTCAGTGTGTGTGTGGGTGTATGTTGGTGGTGTGTGATTGTCTCTGTGTGATCTCCATGTGACATCAGACCCATTGTCATGATAATAATAATGACTCTCCCTGGTTCTGGTTCTGGTTCTGGTTCTGGTTCTGGTTCTGGTTCTGGTTCTGGCTGAATCAGGTTTTAATCTCCATCATCTCAGTGACCGCTCCCCCAAATGGCACAATATTCCCTTTATAGTGCACTACTTCTGAACAGGGCCCACAGGGAATCGGGTGCCATTTCTGATGCCGACCCATGACTGCAGTTATTTATCATCCTAATGATGGCAGGCCTGGAACTGAACTGATAGCGATGCCTTCATCTCATTAGCTAGTAGATACCAAAAAAATGCTGACTTTGTTGAGGGGAGATTTCTGTTCAATATTCTGGGTAGCAACCATTATGTGATTACTTATCTGTAGCCTGTAGACTACTCTAAGGCTGTCCCAAATGGCACCCCATTCCCTATTTAGTGCACTACTTTTGACCAGGGCCCATAGGGCACTATGTAGGGAATAGGGTGCCAAATCGTAGTGAACTAGTAATCGGTATTGTACATACACCTGACGGTAACTCCGATTGGACAATCGGGCCAGAATCGGGCTATATTTGTTGGGCAGGTTTGCTCATGTGTAGGGCAGTGTAGGCTGCTGAGGGGAGGATGACGGCTTATAATAATGGCTGGAACGGAGTCAATGGAATGGCATCGAACACACGGAAACCACGTGTCTGATATATTTGATACCATTCTGCCTATTCCGCTCCAGCCATTACCACGAGCCCACCCTCCCCAATTAAGGTGTCACCAACCTCCTGTGGCGCAGCCCTAGTAAATAAATAATCATGGCAACCGAGGAAGCACAACGATGCACATAGGATGAACACAGCATCTGTGCGTGCGGACTACTGATGTCCTGTTCAGTTTTAGGGAAGATGAGGATGGCCAGAGGTCAACTCTGATAGCTTGCTACTGCTATCATTTATTTAAATAAAAACAATATGTTTTGTTGCCCATGATGAAAAAAGTATGAACTCACTACAGTAAGTCGCTCTGGATAAGAGCGTCTGCCAAATGACTAAAATGTAAAATGTAAATGAAGCTTTTTATTAGAGTTATTGACCTAACAATAAGCAAGATTTCAGTAACTTACATAACTTGCATTGCATTGAAGTGGCAGCCGCGGCACAAGCAATCGGAGATGGACAGCGCATGGGTGCTGAAAGTAGGCTAATTCGAGAAGGCCTAATTCATTTAACCAGACATAATTTTCATTCGACGTTACTAACAACAAGAGGGCTTTGTGTTGGAACCTAAGAGGTAGGCCTACCTGTTTGACAGATTACATTATAGTCTACTATCCATAGATTTTGTCTGCAAATTCCTTCAGTCACCATGTACTCTTTAAATATCTCTGTGTCAGTGAAGGGCTTGGTGTGTTAAAACCAGGAATCTAATTGAGGGGGTATGTGAGGGTATGCCATACCTTCGGTGCCATTGTTGTGATGAACTTGTGGGGTAGTTGAAGAGAACCTTTATACACTGAACTAAAATTTAAACGCAACATGTAAAGTGTTGGTCCCATGTTTCATGAGCTGAAATAAAAGATCCCAGAGATTTTCCATATGGACAAAAAGCTTATTTCTCTCAATTTGATTACATCCCTGTTAGTGAGCATTACTCCTTTGCCAAAATAATCCATCCACCAGACAGGTGTGGCATATCAAGAAGCTGATTAAACAGGAAGATCATTACACAGGTGCACCTTGTGCTGAGGACAATAAAAGGCCACTCTAAAATGTGCAGTTTGTCACACAACACAATGCCACAGATGTCTCAAGTTTTGAGGGAGCGTGCAATTAGCATGCTGACTGCAGGAATGTCCACCAGAGCTGTTGCCAGATATTTTAATGTTAATTTCTCTACCATAAGCCACCTTCAACGTCATTTTAGAGAATTTGGCAGTACATCCAACTGGTATCACAACCGCAGACCACGTGTAACCACGCCAGCCCAGGACCTCCACATCCGGATTCTGCACCTGTGGGATCATCTGAGACCAGCCACCCGGACAGCTGATGAAACTGTGGGTCTGCACAACCATATCATTTCTACAAGCTGTCAGAAACTGTCTCAGGGAAGCTCATCTGCGTGCTCGTCATCCTCACCTGGGTCTTGGCCTGACTGCAGTTCAAATCAAATCAAATCAAATCAAACTTTATTTGTCACATGCGCCGAATACAACAGGTGTAGACCTTACCGTGAAATGCTTACTTACAAGCCCTTAACCAACAATGCAGTTCAAGACAGAGTTAAGAAAATATTTACCAAATAAAAGAAAGTACAAAATAAAATAAAAAGTAACACATTATAATAACAACAACGAGGCTATATACAGGGGGTACCGGTACCGAGTCAATGTGCGGGGGTACAGGTTAGTCAAGGTAATTTGTACATGTAGGTAGGAGAAAATGACTTCAGTGGGAAAACGCTCACCATCGATGGCCACTGGCACGCTGGAGAAGTGTGCTTTTCACGGATGAATCCCGGTTTCAACTGTACTGGGCAGATGGCATACGTGTATGGCGTCGTTTGGGTGAGCGGTTTGCTGATGTCAACGTTGTGAACAGAGTGCCCCATGGTGGCGGTGGGGTTATGGTACGGGCAGGCATAAGCTACGGACAACGAACACAATTGTATTTTATCGATGGCAACAGAGATACCATGGCAAGATCCTGAGGCCCATTGTCGTGCCATTCATCCGCCGCCATCACCTCATGTTTCAGCATGATAATGCACGGCCCCATGTCGCAAGGATCTGTACACAATTCCTGGAAGCTGAAAATATCCCAGTTCTTCCATGGCCTGCATACTCACCAGACATGTTACCCATTGAGCCTATTTGGGATGCTCTGGATCGACGTGTACGACAGCATGTTCCAGTTCCCGCCAATATCCATAAATATCCAGCAACTTCGCACAGCCATTGAAGAGGAGTGGGACAACATTCAACAGGCCACAATCAACAGCCTGATCAACTCTATGCGAAAGAGTTGTGTCGTGCTGCATGAGGCAAATGTTTGTCACACCAGATACTGACTGGTTATCTGATCCACGCCCCTGCTTTTTTTTAAAGGTATCTGTGACCAACAGATGCATATCTGTATTCCCAGTCATGTGAAATCCATAGATTAGGGCCTAATTTATTTATTTAAATTGACTGATTTCCTTATACAGTTGAAGTCGGAAGTTTACATACACCTTAGCCAAATACATTTAAACTCAGTTTTTCACAATTCCTGACATTTAATCCTAGTAAACATTCCCTGTCTTAGGTCAGTTAGGATCACCACTTTATTTTAAGATTGTGAAATGTCAGAATAAAAGTAGAGAGAATGATTCATTTCAGCTTTTATGTATTTCATCACATTCCCAGTGGGTCAGAAGTTTACATACACTCAATTAGTATTTGGTAGCATTGCCTTTAAATTGTTTAACTTGGGTCAAATGTTTCGGGTAGCCTTCCATAAGCTTCCCACAATAAGTAGGGTGAATTTTGGCCCATTCCTCCTGACAGAGCTGGTGTTACTGAATCAGGTTTGTAGGTCTCCTTGCTCGCACACACTTTTTCAGTTCTGCCCACACATTTTCTATAGGGTTGAGGTCAGGGCTTTGTGATGGCCACTCCAATACCTTGACTTTGTTGTCCTTAAGCCATTTTGCCACAACCTTGGAAGTATGCTTGGGGTCATTGTCCATTTGGAAGACCCATTTGCGACCAAGCTTTAACTCCTGACTGATGTCTTGAGATGTTGCTTCAATATATCCACATAATATTCCTTCCTCATGATGCCATCTATTTTGTGAAGTGCACCAGTCCCTCCTGCAGCAAAGCACCCCCACAGCATGATGCTGCCACCCCTGTGCTTCACGATGGTGTTCTTCGGCTTACAAGCATCCCCCTTTTTCCTCCAAACATAACAATGGTCATTATGGCCAAACAGTTCTATTTTTGTTTCATCAGACCAGAGGACATTTCTCCAAAAAGTACGATCTTTGTCCCCATGTGCAGTTGCAAACCGTAGTCTGGCTTTTTTATGGCGGTTTTGGAGCAGTGGCTTCTTCCTTGCTGAGCGGCCTTTCAGGTTATGTCGATATAGGACTCGTTTTACTGTGGATATAGATACTTTTGTACCTGTTTCCTCCAGCATCTTCACAAGGTCCTTTGCTGTTGTTCTGGGATTGATTTGGACTTTTCGCACCAAAGTACGTTCATCTCTGGGAGACAGAACGCGTCTCCTTCCTGAGCGGTATGACGGCTGCGTGGTCCCATGGTGTTTATACTTGCATACTATTGTTTGCACAGATGAACGTGGTACCTTCAGGCGTTTGAAAATTGCTCCCAATGATGAACCAGACTTGTGGTCTACAATTTTTTTTCTGAGGTCTTGGCTGATTTATTTTGATTTCCCCATGATGTCAAGCAAAGAGGCACTGAGTTTGAAGGTAGGCCTTGAAATACATCCACAGGTACACCTCCAATTGACTCAAATTATGTAAATTAGCCTATCAGAAGCTTCTAAAGCCATGACATAATTTTCTGGAATTTTCCAAGCTGTTTAAAGGCACAGTCAACTTAATGTATGTAAACTTCTGACCCACTTGAATTGTGATACAGTGAATTATAAGTGAAATAATCTGTCTGTAAACAATTGTTGGAAAGATTACTTGTGTCATGCACAAAATAGTTGTCCTAACCGACTTGCCAAAACTATAGTTTGTTAACAAGAAATTTGTGGAGTGGTTGAAAAACAAGTTTTAATGTCTCCAACCTAAGTGTATGTAAACTTCCGACTTCAACTGTATGTACTGTACTGTAACTCAGTAAAATCTTTTAAATTGTTACGTTTATATTTTTGTTCAGTGTAGTTTTTTTTTTTTTTTTTTTTGTCATTTAGCAGACGCTCTTATCCAGAGCGACTTACAGGAGCAATTAGGGTTAAGTGCCTTGCTCAAGGGCACATTGACAGATTTTTCACCTAGTCGGCTTGGGGATTAGAACCAGCGACCTTTCGGTTACTGGCACAACGCTCTTAACCACTAAGCTACCTGCCGCCCCCTAGTTCTGAGTAGCTGCTCTGAGCACTGCTCACACTTGGCGATAATGGCCGATTTAAGGCTGAATATATTCAACATAAAAATTATCGGGACGCCGTAAGTGCCCGTGGAGTGCCCGGGAGCCAGTGAGAGCCAGTGAGAGCCATGAACTGCAAAATCGGGTATGTGCTTACACTTTACTGGCTGCGGCGTTCCATTTTACGCCGGGTTTGCTCTGATTATGGGCTTGTTCGACATTGCAGTTGACGGCGCAAATCACGTTGCATCATAAATAACAACTCATTATTATTTGTAGATCATCAGTCAGTCACAATTTACCCATAATACATTGCGGTTTTGATCCTCTCAAACACAGCCTTTATGAGACCCTACTGAATGCATGTCATGATACCACTAAGTACCTTGCTGGAACCTTAATCTATTTTGAAGATTTGTTTTTGCTAGATTTTTCCCTTTAGGGCACAAATTAGTGTTCATGTACTTACAATATTGTTTTATTTGTTTTTCTATCATATTACATATTTTCTGTCTTTGCAGGAGATTGTCAACTTCAACTGTCGTAAGCTGGTTGCTTCGATGCCTCTGTTCGCCAACGCCGACCCCAACTTTGTGACTTCAGTGCTGACCAAGCTGCGCTTTGAGGTGTTCCAGCCCACGGATAATGTGGTTATGGAGGGCACCGTCGGCAGAAAGATGTACTTCATCCAACACGGGGTGGTCTGCGTCATCACCAAGGGCACCAAGGAGACCAAGCTGTCTGACGGGTCCTACTTTGGAGGTAGGAAGGATGTCAAAGGTCACAGAGCCTCTGTTACAATATCCACACTGACAAACTACTAACAATGAAACAATCAGTGATGCAGTGGTAAGACAGTAGGTGGGTAAATACTGATCGCCGTTGGTGGTGAGTAAAGTAAGGATCCCTATACAAAAGGTGGGTGAACGCGCAATCCAAATATATATATTTTTTGTGAACTTTGTTTATGTGCGTTTAACCTCCACTATACCACTGGAAACAGTGTATTGTAAATACGTTGCTTTGGGATGGTAAGTATTTGAAGTTTGAAGTTTATTTGCCATGTGTAATGAATACATTTGGAAATCTTACTCATTAGAAATCTCACAATAAAAACCCATGAACTCCGTGAACATGGAGTTTATTCTCCTGAAATAATTAATTGATTCATTAGATTAATATGACTGTGTGTAACACACTGCTGCAATAAATTCTCCAAAAAGCTTGGGATTGAGTTGGAGTTTAACTTGTGACCATAGTCCTTTTGTAGTGGGGTTTCCCATTGTTACCACTATGTGAATTATACTGTAAGGAATAATTATTACAAAAATTAATGCAAACAGAAATGTGTTAGGCCTGTGTCACTGAAATCTTTTCACTTGTCATGTTTGCATGACATGAAAAATAAATGAAATACCTAAATTGAACTAAAGGAGGCCAGAGAGATAAAAAAATGTCACTATTTTATTTCCCTGATCTGGCAGGCTGTAGCAGGACAGATGAGGTCAGAACAAAACTCTAAGCTCTAAAATTGCATTAAGTGCTCCATCTGTGGAGTTAGTACAGAAAACACTGCTCTTTTTGTGTTTTATCGACTTATGTTGATATTATAATTTATATGACTCTCTCTCCTCTGGTACATGACAGTACATAGAATGAATTCCAAAAATACAGTCATTGAGATGAAAAACATACCTTTCATAATGAGAATATCAGCCATTTTGTAACATTTTGTTTTGGGAAAAAATATTAATAATGTATTCTGTGTAGCCCTTTTACATGGGACTAGTGCTTCTCTCCTCAATATCCTCAATATAATTATGGGAAAATATATTTAACATACGTGGAGGACTTAACAGAAGCCAAGTGGTCGGTTGACAATCTATTCCATAACTGATGTATTCTTCCATTCCCTGCAGAGATCTGCCTGCTGACTCGAGGCAGAAGAACGGCCAGTGTTCGTGCGGAGACGTACTGCCGTCTGTACTCTCTGTCTGTGGACAACTTCAACGAGGTCCTGGAGGAGTACCCCATGATGAGACGGGCCTTCGAGACCGTGGCTCTGGACCGGTTGGACCGCATAGGTGACAACTACAGTACAGTGGAAAGAGGGCCATCAACCTGGGATTGGTTTTCCCAAAGCCTTTGTAGCTAAAGTAGTATGATATTCCTCTCAACAACACAATTCGTAAAACGAAGCGTATTGCCGTTGTGTGAGTTTGGGTCAGCGAAATAAATAACGTACTATCAGCAAAAAATACTTTGGGAAACTCAGTGCGACAGTCCTAGAGCAGCTCTACTGTACTTTCTAGGCTATTTATGTACTGTTCTTCATTTACATTTTAGTCATTTAGCAGGTGCTCTTATCCAGAGCGACTTACAGTTAGTGCATTCATCTTAAGATAGCTAGGTGGGACAACCACATATCACAGTAAGTCAATATTTCCTCAATAACCCTTAGCCTAAAATGTAATTAACATTTAAATAATCCCCATCAAATATCTGTCTGTTTAAGCTAGAGATATTGTTTGCATGGGGCTGCGTCTCAATCCACCGCATCCACCGATATGGCCCTTCCGCATCTGCGGTGAAAGGTGGCAGATTTAGAGCGGTGTTTGTCAGACCATGAGACATCCTGAAAATCGGTCTTCTCACCAAACGTCTGTAGCGGTCAAACTATTATGACCCCGATGGAAAGATGAGACTCTCACGAACACGGTGGTGTTCCCCGTTTTGCTCTACAACTCGTCTGAAGTTGGTACAGCCTCCTCTGCCAAAGTCTGTGTGTCGTGTCCGAACGGTTTGGGTTACACACGAATATGACCCCTCTGTGGAAAGGTGAGACTCTCATGAGCACATACAAGCCTCACAATACTCTTCTAAAGGTCCTGCAGCGTTTTGCAGGAGTTTAATGGCACAAGCGGGGAGCCCAGCCAACAGCGAGTTGCATTAGTCCAGACTGGAGATGACAAGTGCCTGGATTAGGACCTGCGCCGCTTCCTGTGTGAGGTTGGGTTGTACTCTACAGATGTTGTAGAGAATGAACCTGCAGGAGCGAGTCACTGGTCTGATGTTTGCAGAGAACGACAGGGTGTTGTCCAGGGTCACGCCATGGTTATTTGCACTCTGGGAGGGGGACACCGTGGAGTTGTCAACCATGATGGAGAGGTATTTGAGTGAGCAGGCCTTTCCCGGGAGGAAGAACAGCTCCGTCTTGTGGAGGTTGAGCTTGAGGTGGTGGGCCGACATCCAAGCTGAGATATATGCCAGGCACGCAGAGATGCGTGTCGCCACCTGGGTGTCAGAAATCAAATCGAATGTTATTTGTCACATGCGCCGAATACAACAGGTTTAGTCCTTACCGTGAAATGCTTACTTACAAGCCCTTAACCAACAATGCAGCTCAAGAAATAGAGTTAAGAAAATATTTACTAAATAAAGTAAAAAATTAAAAGTAATAAAATAACAGTAGAGAGGCTGTATACAGGAAGTACCGGTACTGAGTCAATGTGAAATAACAGTAGAGAGGCTGTATACAGGGGGAACTGGTACAGAGTCAATTAGAAATAACAGTAGAGAGGCTATATACAGGGGGTACCGGTACAGAGTCAATGTGAAATAACAGTAGCGAGGCTATATACAGGGGGTACTGGTACAGAGTCAATGTGCGGGGGAAGGACTTGAGTGTAATCCGTATAGCAATGATAGGAGAGACCATGTGAGGATATGACGGAGCCGAGTGACTTGGTGTATAGAGAGAAGAGGGCCTAGAACCGAGCCCTGGGGGACACCAGTAGTGAGAGAACGTGGTGCAGACACAGATCCTCTCCACGTCACCTGATAGAAGCGGCCTGCCAGGTAGGATGCAATCCAAGAGTGTGCAGAGCCTGAGACGCCCAGCTCTGAGAATGTGGAGAGGAGGATCTGATGGTTCACGGTGCTGAAGGCAACGGATAGATCTAGGAGGATGAGAACAAAGGAGAGAGAGTCAGCTTTGGCAGTGTGGAGAGCCTCCGTCTCTCAGAGAAGAGCAGTCTCAGTTGAGTGACACATCTTGAAGCCTTACTGGTTAGGGTCAAGAAGATGGTTCTGAGAGAGATAGCGAGAGAGTTGGTCAGAGACGGCACGCTCAAGTGTTCTGGAAAGAATAGAAAGAAGGCTGGTCTGTAGTTTATGACGTCAGAGGTCAGAGTGTTGGCTTCTTGAGGAGGGGAGCGACTCAAACCATTTTGAAGTCAGAGGGGACGCAGCCAGTGGTCAGGGATGAGGGAAGTGAGGAATGGGAAAAGGTCTCCAGAGATGGACTGGAGAAAGGAGGAGGGGATGGGGTTGAGCCGGCAGGTTGTTTGGTGGCCAGGCCTCACTAGTCGCAGGACTTCATCTGGAGAGCGAGGGGAGAAAGAGGTCAAGGCGTATGGTAGTTCTGTGTGAGTGGGACCAGTGGACGAGGAGCAGATGTCGTCAACCTTCTTTTCAAAGTGTTTGACAAAGTTGTCCGCAGAGAGGGAGGAGGGAGGGTGGAGGAGGTGGAGGATTAAGGAGGGAGGAGAAGGTGGAAAATAGTTTCCTAGGGTTAGAGGCAGAAGCTTGAAATGTGGAGTAATATAAAGTGGCTTTAGCAGCAGATACAGAGGGAGAAAGTGGCGTTAGCAGCGGATGCAGAGCAAAATAAGGTAGAGAGGAGGGAGTAAAAGGATGATAGGTCCTCTGGAAGTTACGTTTTCCTCCCCGCAGCTCTGTTCTGTAAGCTCACAATGAGTCACTCAGCCATGGAGCAGGAGGGGACGGCCGAGCTGGCCGGGAGGAAAGGAGACAGTGTGAGTCATAGGATGTGGAAAAGGAGGAGAGTAGGGTCGAAGAGGCAGAATCAGGAGACAGGAGGGAGAAGGATTTAGCAGAAGGGAGAGTATCTGGATAACATGTGTGAAATGCTTGATAATGTATGTGATATCAATAGAGAGGTATACTTTCTGGGTGATTTAAATATTGACTGGCTTTCATCAGGCTGCCCACTCAAGAGAAAGCTTCAAACTGTAACCAGTGCCTGCAACCTGAGAGGTGAAGAGCACACCTCCCAGTACTAATTGCTGATTGCCTAGGAGAGGAGAAATCACTCCCCCTCCAGTACAGATACTGATTACCAAAACAACAACAGTCACAAATTGCCCTGCCCCTTAATCCTGGTTGATTTATCAACAATCAGCTGCAAGTTATGAGCAGTCAGCAGTTCACACACGACGTAGGCTACTGGGAAGACAGACAGCATTTCAAGTAGACAACCCTAGATAGCAACAAGACAGTACTAGACCACAACGGATAAAGATATAAATTATACTTATCCCTCCTGGAGATAGTCGTCTAGCTATAGAATGAAGCACATGCATGTGAATTATAACCTGGAAGGATTTGAACTAGCTGAATATGTGAAAAGCAAGTGTGAGAATTAAAGTTGGTGATCTCTTATGTCAGCACATTTGACCGTTTTAATTTCAGAAGGGGAGCGTTATCTCACTGTCCTGAGGTGAAAGCATTGTGAAAGCATCGTGTTAAAAAGCCCCTCATTTAGCTGTGATTTAATGGATGACAGGCAGGGTTTAATATACCTTACTAATTCTGGTTCTCTCTCATTCTGAATATAATATGACAGCAACACCCAAAGATGACCGCAACTGTCGTCTTTAGGTCAGAAAATCTACTCTCTGGGTGCTTTAGAGGGTTTGGAATCTACAAGACAGACCCTAACCCTAACCCCATCCCTTTCCTCACATTACTACTACTCTCTCTTCTTCTCTACAGGAAAGAGGAACTCTGTTCTCCGACACAAAGTCGCCCAGAACTCAGGAGCTGTGAACCTCCAGGAGAATGAGATCATCCAGAGGATTGTACAGCACGACCGAGACATGGCTATCCAGAGCAACATCTCTCCCCAGTCCCTGGACCCCCCATCCCCCACCTCCACCCCGGGGGTCATCTGGGCTCCGCTGGTCCAGGGCCCCCTCCAGGCCGCTGCAGCCACCACCTCCCTGGCTCTGGCCTTCTCCCACTCCCAGCTCCAAACCCAGCTCCCGCCCATCCTCTTCCACCGTCCGCTCTCCATCTCCAGGTCGTTCAAGGATCCAGGAGGCCACCATCTGCAGAGGGGCATGTTTGTGGGCGTGTCTGCAGCTGGAAGTGTGGGCGTTCCCAGCTATGGCTCCGGGGCTGCATCCCCGGCCGGTTCTGTGAAGTTCCGTTCTGGAGTGGACACTCCGATATTAGCCTCGCTCCGGGCGCAGCATCTAGTCTCCACCACCTCCTCCATGTCTCCTCTGTCACCCATGACCTCCATGTACCAGCCCACCACAACCAACAACTTCCAGGCCCAGCACAGCGGAGGCTCTCCCTTCCCCCTGGGCCAGGCCTCCATCCAGGGGTATCCACCCTCCTCCTCCTCCTGTACGGCCCTGCTCCACCAACACCACCCCTGCAGCCCACCAGGTTCCCACCAGCAGGGGGCGTCAGGGAGGCCCACCATGGACTCAGGGAGGTTCTCAGCCCACTCAGCCCCCTCTGGTTCCACCCTAAGCCCTCTCATCTGTAGCTCTGTCAGCCCTATCCTGAGCCAGCTACAGCAACACGCCTCCTCTTACTCTCACGCTACCAGCTCTCACCACATCCAGAGGGGGATGGGCTCTGGTGAACATCAGGAGAGAGCAGGCCTCCTCCTCCCCCCCCACTCCCACTGTTCCTACACCAGCACCAGCCCTAGCTACACCACCCAACACCACAGCTCCAGTGGGTTTCTATCTGTACCTATCCCACAACAGGCCAGCGTTGGAGGTGTTGGAGCCCCATCCTCCCTGGTGCAACACAGTCTGGCAGGTCTGCAGTCCAGCCTCCATTCCGGCCTCCACCCCGGCCTCCACCCCGGCCTCCACCCCGGCCTCCACGCCGGCCTCCTCCCGCAGGTTCTCCCGGAGCACTCTGCCCATTCTTCCCACTCTGCCCTGGCCTCGCTGGCCCAGTACGGATCAGGGGATGGCTCCCCGTCCTGCACCCCGCCGGTGGCACCCAGCCCCACCTTCCAGAGCCCAGTGGCAGGCAGGACGGTGCTTCCCCATCATCACCACAGCCAGCTCAGCCATCTCAGCCAGCTCCACAGCCAACCCTCCAGCGCCATGGGCTCGCACAGCTCCCTCACCCCACAGACGTCATACCCCGCTCGGGTAGACCGAAGGGCAGAGTCCTTAGTGGATCTCTTCACCCAGGATGTCAGGACTATCTCCACTGTTTCCACCTCTGGCTCACGCAGCTACCTTCCCCAGGAAGGGGCTCTCTCCATACCTTCATGGGGGTCTGGTTCTTCTCACTTCTCTTCTCACCCCTTCTCCTCTCCTCCCATGGCAGGGGGTAGCAGTAATAAACTCCCAGGCCACGCCACCCCTCTGAGTCACTACACTCCCCCGGGATCTGAACTTCCAACTCCCATGAACCAAGGCGCACCGACCTCTTCGCATCCCAACCCCAGTCGCCCTGCTACCCCGGCCAAGACATCCGAGGCAGACTACAGACTCTCCAAACTCCCCTCCAACCTGTGAGGTTTAAACACACCCTCCCATGATGCCTGAACTATGAGGAAATTGTCTTCGGTATTGGCATTTTGTTTTTTTAATCGCTATTGTAGGTTTTCTATTCAAGGAGGGTGTGAGTGAGTGCATATCCATATTGGAGGAGAAAAAAAACTTAGGACAGAGATCTATTTTTAATGCAGAGTGAATGAAGTAACGTGAAAGGACAGAGTTCCCAGTGGGCGAAACTAGTTCTGGTTGTAAACGAGTGGTAATGACATCATTTCAACCATCTTTGCCCGCTGGGTTAAGTATTTTTCTACTATGTTCAGGAGGTACTGTATCAACATGGATTGTTGGATAATGTTAAACCACAAGAAAGTATACTGACCAATGTATTATTATTATTATTATTATTATTATTATTGTAGCCTATATCCTCACATTGTAATTTTATGTTAAGGTATTTGTTTAAAAGCTGTTGTTCAGACATACACAATATATACAAAAGTATGTGGACACCCCTTCAAATTAGTAGATTCGGCTATTTCAGCCACACCCGTTGCTGACAGGTGTATAAATTTGAGCACACAGCCATGCAATCTCCATAGACAAACATTGGCAGTAGAATGGCCCGTACTGAAGAGCTCAGTGACTTTCAACGTGGCACCGTCATAGGATGCCACATTTCCAACAAGTCAGTCAAATTTCTGCCCTGCTAGAGCTGCCCCGGTGAACTGTAAGTGCTGTTATTGTGAAGTGGAAACGTCTAGGAGCAACAACGGCTCAGCCGCAAGTGGTAGGCCACACAAGCTCAAAGAACGGGACCGCCGAGTGCTGAAGCGCAAGCGTGTAAAAATCATCACTACCGAGTTCCAAACTGCCTCTGGAAGCAACGTCAGCACAATAACTGTTCGTTGGGAGCTTCATGAAATGGGTTTCCATGGCCAAGCAGCCGCACACAAGCCTAAGATCACTATGCGCAATGCCAAGCGTCGGCTAGAGTGGTGTAAAGCTCACCGCCATTGGACTCTGGAGCAGTGGAAACGCGTTCTCTGGAGTGATGAGGCACGCTTCACCATCTGGCACTCCGACGGACGAATCTGGGTTTGGCGGATGACAGGAGAACGCTACCTACCCGAATGCATAGTGCCAACTGTAATGTTTGGTGGAGGAGGAATAATGGTCTGGGGCTGTTTTTCATGGTTCAGGCCTCTTAGTTCCAGTGAAGGGAAATCTTAACGCTACAGCATACAATTACATTCTAGACGATTCTGTGCTTCCAACTTTGTGGTAACAGTTTGAGGAAGGCCCTTTCCTGTTTCAGCATGACAATGCACCCATGCACAAAGCGAGGTCCATATAGAAATGGTTTGTCGAGATTGGTGTGGAAGAACTTGACTGGCCTGCACAAAGCCCTGACCTCAACCCCATCGAACACCTTTGGGATGAATTGGAACGCCGACTGCGAGCCAGGCCTAATCGCCCAACATCAGTGCCCGACCTTTCTAATGCTCTTGTGGCTGAATGGAAGCAAGTCCCTGCAGCAATGTTTAAACATCTAGTGGAAAGCCTTCCCAAAAGAGTGGAGACTTTTATAGCAGCAAAGGGGGGACCAACTCCATATTAATGCCCATGATTTTGGAATGAGATGTTTGACGAGCAGGTGTCCACATACTTTTGGTCATGTAGGGTATTTATCTAACATTTTACCCTATAGAGATTATTTTAAGTTTGAAATAACACCAAAAATATTTTTCCTTTTTTAATATTATGATATTTTCTCAGTGTATTGTGATAACATGTTGTGGAGGTGTGGTGAACGTGAGGCCACCAAAGAGACTTGATCGGAAGGTAAAGAACTATAACTGAACTGCACTTTTGTAATTTCAGAAATTAACTGAAAAATTTCGATGTTATGTCTTCCAATATCTTGTTTCAGCCATATTGGACGGACCTATGTGTATGTTTTCTAAGAATATACGCTTACATACTGTATACATTTTTTGCTAGACTAGTTATCAAACATATTATTTTATCAAGAGACATGAATGTATGTTTTTGACAAGTGACTGCATTTTAAAGTAACAGTTTGGAAATGAATCATTGGGGTTTGGATAAAAAGAAATACAGTAATCCTTGTGAGAATACAGTAATCCTTGTGAGAATAGAGGGGAAAAAAACATAAAGGAAAAAAGCTTAAAGCATAAAGTAAACGTTAACTGATTCAGCTTTGGCTATTGGCAGTCTGTCATATTTCCTGCAAGGCGCCTCCTCTGCCTAGACACACACAGGGCTCTAGATTTTCATTTTTCATTGGTAGCAATAAAAGTTAGGAGCACCACATTAAATTTAGGAGCACCACATTAAATTTAGGAGCACCAGAAACACACGCACCTCCCCAGTCAGCCAGTCACTGAGCACAGACATTCAGTCCTTAGGGAGAACAGGCCAAAAGCGCACACACATGCACGAAACGCATGCACACACACACACGCGCACACACGATTCACCTGACCTTGGCCGACACGGCAGCGAAAGCTTGTTGACAGAGATGTACTGCACACAGTTTTCAGCCATTCTCTTTTTTTTTTTTTACAACTTCAGCCACAGAATGATAACCTTGTTTCCCCTATGGGTACAGAGAATATACAGACATACATCTGAGGTATGTGTGTGTGGTGTAGACTGTACTGTACATGACCTGTGTGTGTGTGGTTATACAGGAAGTACAGACGGAGGCACAGTGAATTGAATTACAGCTCTTCGTCCATAACAACACGGATAGACGGGTAAATGAGATGTTCGCCAGACCTAAACACAAGATAAACCGGAGATAGTGGTTTGTTCATTAGGCACCAAACAGAAGAGAACGGACTGAAACTTGGAGGGACTACGTGGACAAAAAAAAAGCACATTTTTGTTTTCCGTTTTGAAAAGTTTTTGCGTGCCCTAATGAACACGATCCAGGTTTAGCAACATGAGGTCATTGAATGGTGTCAACCGTGGACAGTAAAATGTCTGCGAGACAACAATGCGCTGGTACTGACCTGATGATATATGATATAACATGTTATTTTGTCATTTTGTTGTATATTTTACTTTTGTTTTCGTTGTTTTATGATTTAAGATTATCTATCCATAGTCATTATTTAAGATTTGACATCTATTGAACAACTGCTTGTTCTGGTCTCCTTGACAACGTTCTGTAAATCATATTGTCCACAGACATAGGAATGAGACAGCTCTTGAATTGATCGAGATTGATCAACAATTGACTCTTATTTTGAAAAGGGGACTCTTATTCTGAAAAGGTTGACAAACCCAGGCCCCTCGATTTTCCCCAATCTCTGCATATCTATACATCCTGCTTGTTGTGTATATAATTTCATGTATTTATGTTTGACTTGTATTTATCTGCACCTCTGACCTGTTTATCTGACCTATGACCTTTTTAGCTGACCTCTGACCTGGGCATGACCTTGTGATTAGATTGAACTAATCATAAGGTCATGCCCTTGAGAATCCAATCCAAAGGCCTCAGTTGCCTAGTTACTGGGCGCTGGGGGTCCCTGGGGGGCTGAGGTGGCAGGTGGGGGCAGGTGTATGCACGCTCACACAAACGCACACACCTGTAGTGAATCTCTGCCTGACCCTACCGGGGATATAGATAACATCAGTCACTACCCAGTGACTGATACTGGTGGTGGCTCAATCCTCCATTACTATTCCTCGCTTTCCTCTTCTCTGTCCTCCCCCTCTCCTCTCCTCTGTCCTCCCCCTCTCCTCTCCTCTGTCCTCCCCCTCTCCTCTCCTCTGTCCTCCCCATCTCCTCTCCTCTGTCCTCCCCCTCTCCTCTCCTCTGTCTTCCCCCTCTCCTCTCCTCTGTCCTCCCCATCTCCTCTCCTCTGTCCTCCCCCTCTCCTCTCCTCTGTCCTCCCCATCTCCTCTCCTCTGTCCTCCCCCTCTCCTCTCCTCTGTCTTCCCCCTCTCTCCCTCTCCACTACAACACCCTACAACAGAGGCGCCATGTAGCTTTGGATTGAGTATCAGACCAGATCTCAGCCTTGAGTGCACTCTCTCTGGTTATTGAGGCTACAATCTGGGATTTATTGTATTGTATTCTAACACCCATTGGATATATCACGAATTTAGATGCCTATTGAACGGATTCCCAGCCTGATCCCAGATTGTACCTTTAAGATGGGAGCCTTACTGTGTTGCAGTGTGCTCTATCTCATTAATATGTATTACATTTGTTGCTTTTGACTTCCCGTACCTCATAATTCCATGATGACCAATGTTGAACAAAATCTTATATATGTTTTTGAATATTATTGAATTGGATGCAATAATAAAATCACACTTCCGGTGAATGACTAGCGGCTGTCTATGATGTTGTGATTATTTCTCTGAATGACTAGCGGCTGTCTATGATCTGATTGTTTCTCTGAATGACTAGCGGCTGTCTATGATCTGATTGTTTCTCTGAATGACTAGCGGCTGTCTATGATGTTGTGATTATTTCTCTGAATGACTAGCGGCTGTCTATGATCTGATTGTTTCTCTGAATGACTAGCGGCTGTCTATGATCTGATTGTTTCTCTGAATGACTAGCGGCTGTCTATGATCTGATTGTTTCTCTGAATGACTAGCGGCTGTCTATGATCTGATTGTTTCTCTGAATGACTAGCGGCTGTCTATGATCTGATTGTTTCTCTGAATGACTAGCGGCTGTCTATGATCTGATTGTTTCTATGAATGACTAGCGGCTGTCTATGATCTGATTGTTTCTCTGAATGACTAGCGGCTGTCTATGATCTGATTGTTTCTCTGAATGACTAGCGGCTGTCTATGATCTGATTGTTTCTCTGAATGACTAGCGGCTGTCTATGATCTGATTGTTTCTCTGAATGACAAGCGGCTGTCTATGATCTGATTGTTTCTCTGTATGACTAGCGGCTGTCTATGATGTTGTGATTATTTCTCTGAATGACAAGCGGCTGTCTATGATCTGATTGTTTCTC